TGGCTGTTTCCTCCCAAATGACCTGAAATGATAGAGTTCCTGATTGTATTTTCGTAATATTTTTTCTGAGATCAAAAGTTTAAGTATGCCAATCTGGTCACAGTTGACCTGAGTTTTGTGTTATTAGATTTCTAAAGTAGATTATAACTTTATGTTTACAAAGATAAATGGTATTTCTTCTGGTAGTATATGGATAAAAAGTTTAGAAACCTTTAGAAACCTATAGACTGATTATCTCAGAAGTAGTTACTTAAACTAGAATTTTGGCCCCGAGAAAGTAAATTTATTTGCTGTTGGAGCTTGTATTGAAAATAGGCCAAAATGAGAGAACACACAACTATACTTTCAATTTTCTAACAAGTATTTTATGAATACAATGGCATAGAGACATTGATTATTAAACAGTTAATGACATTATGATCTCATTATAATTTAAACAGAATTACACAAGAATGAGCAAAAATAAAAGCTGTCATTCTGTGTAGTATATCTTCCTGTCTTCAAAACCAGAACAGAAAACCACATTACTCACCATATAGGTATATTAAGTTATAGTTAAAACAATCCATAAATACAGAAACCTTGGATACTTAACAGTCTGTGTTCAGTTGAGTTTACTCAGCTACATGTGGATACAGTGCAGACTTAGTAATATAAATGAACTCTTCTCTGCATGCATGACTTATGCATCTGTACCTCATCACTCACAGAACAGTTTTTGGAAACTTTGAAACTCTGCAATATGCAGCACTCCAACCCTCCAACAGTTTCTCCGATTCACTGTAAAGTTCCTTATGCTCCTGCTCTCTTCTGTGTTTATTTTTAAGTGGATACTCTGTGGGGCGGTTTATTCTATTGTGCAATGCAGTGATTTTTCAAAGTCCTGAATACTAGGTAGTCATACTAATTTGTGACAACAATCTTCAGACTTGATCCCTCTAACAGAGCACACGATGTTTGGTCTCAAAGCTTATTTTCCAAATTGAGAACAATGGAGCGCAAATGGCTATTCTTCCCCTATTGGCTTTTTTGTTCTTGGCAGTACTTGTGTGGTGTGTTGTTAATCAATAAATAAAACATGCAGATTGAAGTACTCATATAACTGGACAGTGTAACATAAAAGTGGCACTACAGGTATATTGTACATGTCAACAATATATATAAGGTCATTTTGTTCACTTTTTGGAACTAGGACCTTGAGATATTAAAACAAGCTGGAAAATTTGGAACACCCTCAATTCTGGTATCTCACTGTCCTCCTTAACTGGCTCCAATCCCCATTCCATATCCAGTGACTTCTCACTCCATCTCTGCTCCGGCCTGGGCTTCTAGTTCTGCTCTGACTCATTTTATTACTTGGACATTGGGATTTTTTATGATAATTGACATTTCCTGTATATTATTACCAAAGAGCTTTGGAAATTATCTCTGAAAAATTTGAAACTGAACAAAAAACAGACTTCACTTGGGAAAAATGACCTTTTCAGCTTTGAGTAGGTCAAGGCTGTAAGATAACACTTTGCAGGAGAAGGCAACCCCAACTTAGTTTAGTCAAACCCAACTTAGTTTCTAAATGATGGCTGCAAATTGAACCCTGATTTCCTAAAAGCTCAATGTTATAAACTGGAACACTAATACCAAAAGTAATCATGAAAATAGATTAAAATGTAAAGAAGTGCTTAAAAATATTTGTAAAGGATCTCTTTAGTAAAGTAGCTACATTAAATAAAATGCAATTGCCTCATTCTGGGGCTGGTATTGCCTGGGCTGGTTGGTTGCTTGAGGGGACATTGGTGGTTGTGTCTGTGGCATCAATTGACCCACTGCTTGTTCATTTTGGTTTATTGTCCCTACTCTAGAAGTAGCCCTTAATTATCTCAGCAGTTGTGATATGTAATCCCAAAGGTGGGCTCATGACCCATTAGATCAATCAGAGTGAAGTCAGAATCTTTTTTTTGACAATGAGCCAATATATTCTTTTTAAGTGACTTTTGTTTTGTTTTGTGGTTACTTCCAACCAAGGTATCATTACTGAAATACTGACACTTCTCAAAATGAGTCAAATGAAATTAGGACTGAAAAGCTTTCTTTCCCTGGTAATTCTCTGTTGTAAGCAATAGGTATTTTTCATCCCACCAGGATTTTTTTTTTTTTTTTTTGAGATGTCTCACTCTGTCATCTAGGCTGGAGTGCGGTGGCACGATCTCTGCTCACTGCACCCTCCACCTCTGGATTCAAGCACTCTCCTGCCTCAGCCTCCCGAGTAGCTGGGACTACAGGCATGTGCCACTACATATGGCTAATTTTGTATTTTTAGTAGAAATAGGGTTTTGCCAGGTTGGCCAGGCTGGTCTCGAACTCCTGACCTCAGGTGATCCACCTGCCTCGGCCTCCCAAAGTGTTAGGATTACAGGCATGCGCCACTGCACCCAGCATCTGAGATAATCTTAGTAAGTTTACCAGTGTCAAATTAAATGTGGATTGTCAAATTAAATGTGAATAACTGTATTCAAGTCAGGTCAACTTGGTCAATTTGAAGTCAACTCTTGATCTCAAATGATCCACCCACCTTGGCCTCCCAAAGTGCTGGGATTACAGGCACGAGCCACCGTGCCCAGCCTCCAAGATAATAAGTTCACCAATGTCAAATTAAATGTGGAATGCCAAATTAAATATGAATAACTGTATTCAAGTCTTGGAATGAAAACTGCTAATGTTTTCATGGTGACTTCAATGACTCCTTACTTTTTCATGTCAAAACTTTAACCATTTATTCATGTCTGTGAGAGAAACCTCAATTCGTTTTCCGAGAATGACTCAATATGATGCTGGTGTTGCTATATCTATCTGTGGCAGTAACTGCAGATTTTGGCTGTTCCTTGGGGGCAGATTTTTTTTTTTTTTTTCTGTAGAGACAGGGTTTCACCTTGTTGCCCAGGCTGGTCCTGAACTCCTGAGCTCAAGTGATCCACCCACCTCAGCCTCTCAAAGTGCTAGGATTGAAGGTATGAGCCACCGCTCCTGGCTCATGATTTTTGTTTTAAAGTGCATAAAAATAGAGGTCAGGTTGTACTATCTGAAATTGGGGGGGGGGGGGATGCCTCCTTTAAAGGGACATAAAACAGACCAAAATGTTAATATATCAGCAACCAAGTATTTGAATATTAATTGGCTTCCGCATCTTAACCAAAAGCTGCCTGATTGCTAACTCTAACAAAACTCATGTTTTCTTTTCCTTGACCATTTGTAGCATGTGAAGTCACTGGTAAGTTCCTATTTACTTATTTGAGACAGGGACTCACTCTGTTGCCCAGGCTGGAGTGCAGAGGTGCGATTATGGCTCACTGCCACCTCAACTTCCTGGGCTCAGGTGATCCTCCCACTTAAGCCTTCCAAGTAGCTGGGACTACAGGTGCATGCCACCATGCCTGGTTAATTTTTGTATGTTTTTTGTAGAGAGATGGTTTTGCTATGTTGCCCAGGCTGGTATTAAACTGCTGGGCTCAAGTGACCCTCCCACCTCAGCCTTCCAAAATGCTGGTATTATGGGCCATGCTACCGTGCCCTGCCGTAACTTCATTTTTAAAGGTTTCTTACTCCTTGGCTCGTGTGGTCTCCTCTTCCTCTGCCCATTTTAAATATCTGATGTTTTCATGTTTCAGTCTTGGACCCTCTTCTCATTCTTTATTCTCCAAGGGTTATCTCATTTGCTGTCATCTAGGCTTTACTGCCAAATCTCTCAACAGGAAGCTCTTAGAAAAGACAATACAGTACATTTTTGCTCTGTTTAAAACTCTCTAACTCCCTAATGCTGTGAGGATACACTCCAGAATACTACCGCAGGATCTACCCTGGTCCTACCTCTGAAGTCATCTCTTGTCATTCCCCAAGTCCTACTCATATATATATGTGTATATATACACATATATAAATAAAAGATATGTATATCTTTTATTTTTTTGAGACAGGGTCTCACTCTGTCACCCAGGCTGGAGTGTAGTAGTGAGATCACGGCTCACTGCACCCCCAACCCCTGCCACTGGCTCAAGTGGTCTTCCCACCTCAGCCTCCCAAGTAGTTGGGACCACAGGCACGAACTACCACACCTGGGTATTTTTTTGTACTTTTGGTAGAGATGGCATTTTGCCATTTACCCAGGCTGGTCTCGAATTGCTGAGCTCAAGCAATTCTCCTGCCTTAGCTTCCCAAAGTGCTGGGGTTACAGGTGTGAGTCACCATGCTTGGCTCTACTTACCAATCTTAAGTCTAACTGAATCTCATTTCCTTGAAGGTTCTAGGTTCTTGCTTTCTACCTCTGAGCTTCTACATACTGCTGTACTCCCTGCCTGTAATAGTAATCACCTCCCTATTACTCTTGCTGGCTAATCCTTTCATATTTCAACTTAATGGTCAGGCCACATCCTTCAGGAAGCCAACTCTGCCAACCCCTCTTGAGGATATGCATTCCTCCCCAAGAGTCCCCAACACACTTTATTTCTCCCCTCATAGCAGTATCTTTAAGTTCTTGTTAATTAAGCTTTAGCCTCCAGAAGTTCTGTGAGGACAGTGGCCATGTCCAGCTTGTTTAGCATATTTCCAGAGAGTAACAGTCGCCTGTTCAGGAAAGGTATGTGATGAATATGTGAAGGACTAGATACCCTGTGCTAGGCTGTCTCTAATAAATATTTGATTTTCAGGAAAATAATTTATGGTACCACTCAGCTAATGTTTTGTAGGAACATTAACAGTGTTCCTGTTACATTATTAAAATAATTAACTGTTAAATTATATTTTACTTACAGACAGTCAAAAGAAGGGACAAATTGAAAAGTGGTTCTGACAGTATGGCAAGTGAAATGCTGAAATTCTTTGACTAATTTAGTTAGTCTAAACTCTTAAAAATAGAAAGTTCTAATAAATATATTTTCTCTCATATTCAGGAACCATAATGGATACTAGAAAAATATTGTGAATCTTCCCACAAAAAAATGAAAGGACAATTTCATTTTAAAGAGTTTTATTACAGGATGTTAATATTTAGGACACTTCAGAGCACCTTATACTTCTAATCAGATTTTGGGTAACTGGTTTTAAAGTGTTACTTGAATATTTTTCTCATACTGTCTTTCAGGTAAAGTACTTCTCAGAGACCGTCTAAGAGATGTTAATTTGATTAAACAGTTTATCCTTAATAACCTGAGACATCAATCCATGGATAGCTTCTATGGTAGTTTTACAGCTGGAAAACAAAACACACATCACATGATGTCATAAATTGAAAACTATTTCAAACACACAAGATCAGCCCCAATCCATCCATGTAACTCCAATGAGTTTGGTTTTATTCATACTTCTCAAACCACCCCAATCTGAAGTTTTCCCTTGTTATTTTATTAGTCTTCCACATGTCTTTTTAACCATTTCATTACTTACTAGAACTTTCACAAGAGAATGACACATAAAATTTGATACAATTGTTCTGTTTTAGAAGGTGAGTAAAATTATACAAACCTGTAATTAGAGATTGATTCCAATATTATATTACATTATAATCTGTTATTCCTTGTTTATTACTTGGGATAATTTGAAAAATAATTTTGAAGAATACTATTTTTTTCCTGAAATAATCACAAGCAATTGTCCTCCAACAATTAGAAGTTAAAGTTAGATTAACAGGTGAAGGCCTTAGATTTTAGAAATGATAAAAAGTATAAGGCAAAAAGCAATGAAAAAACCCCATCAATATTCAGAAGAGATGCAATTCTTGTAAAGCTACCGCAAAAAGGAAAATACTCTACTTTTGATTACTACTTCTGTTCTATTTCTTATATAATTGAAGACATTGCCATAGTAAAATTTTTGCTTCATAAGACATTGAGAAATAAATGTAGATAAACTGATAAATTACATACATAAAGACAGAGGAACAAAACACACACTCAAAGCAAGTATCTAAAATGACAACTAATGCCAATGAAAAATACTTTTTTTTGGAGACAGTGTCTCACTCTGTCACCCAGGCTGGAGTGCAGTGGCACAATCATGGGTCACCGCAACCTCTGCCTCCTAGGCTCCAGTGATTCTTGTGCCTCAGGCTCCTAAGTAGCTGGAACCACAGATGTGTGCCACCATGCCCAGCTAATTTTTTTTGTAATTTTTGCAGAGATGGGGTTTTGCCATATTGCCCAGGCTGGTTTCGAACTCTTGAGCTCAAGCAATATGCCTGCCTTGGCCTCCCAAAGTGCTGGTATTATAAGCATGCGTCACCATGCCCAGCTGAAAAATGCAACTTTTATGCAGGCCACTAGCTCTACCTTCTAAAAACCCACTGAGAAGATGGCAATGAAATAAGGCTAACCCAAAATGACCTCCAATCCCAGGATACACTTCAGGTACCCTTTTCTCCTCTTTTCCCTATAAACCAAACCAGTTCTTAAAATAGATATCAACATGTAAGTGTGTATAGAAGTCAATGTAGTTCTCCCTTCCTTTCTGCCCCTAATTATTGCATTACAATTCAAATTTCTTTTCTTTCTTTCTTTTTTTGAGACAGAGGTTCACTCTTGTTGGCCAGGCTGGAGTGCAATGGCGCCATCTTGGCTCACTGCAATCTCCACCTCCTGGGTTGAGGCGATGCTCCTGCCACGGCCTCCTGAGTAGCTGGGATTACAGGCGCCCGCCACCACGCCTGGCTAATTTTTGTATTTTTAGTAGAGACGGGCTTTTACCATGTTGGCCAGGCTGGTCTTGAACTCCTGACCTCAGGTGATCTGCCCGCCTTGGCCTCCCAAAGTGCTGGGATTACAGGTGTTAGCCACTGTGCCCAGCCTAAAATTCAAATTTCTGTGAAAGTAAATGTTGTTAATCTATGCAACTTTGTATAGCCTATATATCTGAAGGTCCACATAATTATTTCATAAGTTATTAGAGAACATATCCCAAATTTGTTCCTAATAAAATCTTTGGTAGTAAAATTTGGGATACTAAATTACTGTTTTCGAAGCACAATTTAAGAGAGAGACAATCACTTCCGTAATATCTTAGGATTTAAAGCTTTATTGAATATTAAAATATTATAAATTTAAGAAATGCTAATTTGGCTGGGCGCGGTGGTTCATGCCTGTAATCCCAGCACTTTGGGAGGCCCAGGTGGGTGGATCACCTGAGGTTAGGAGTTCAAGACCAGCCTGGCCAACATGGTGAAACCCCATCTCTACAAAAAATACAAAAAAATTAGCCAGGCATGATGGTGGGTGCCTATATTCCCAGTTACCTAGGAGGCTGACGCAGGAGAATTGCTTGCACCCAGTAGGTGGAGGTTGCAGTGAGCCAAGATCACATCATTGTACCATTGTACTCCAGCCTGGGTGACAGAGCAAGACTCTGTCTCAAAAAAAAAGAAAGAAATCCTAGTTACTTACACACACACACACACACACACACACACACACACACACTTTAAAGATCCACTGAAGGGCTGGTTTTCTTTGTTACACTTTCTAGTTGAACTTAGAAAAGGTGACTGGGAGTGTTCCATAACACTGCTTAGATCTTTGATTTAAGCCTTTTAATGTTCTTACCTGATGTATCCTAAATTTTCAAAGTTAAAACTTGTGTCTGACAGCTCCTAAAGTTTCCAAGAAGTTAATATTCAGGTACCATTCTAAGTTGTAACTAAGTTGAGCCATAAGGAATCTGAATCCTACTATTGTTTGCAAATTTTGAAAGAAAAAGAGTTAGGGGCAACAAGAATCTTACAGATTTACTCTTACCTGTCTCTCGTAGCTTTGGCAAGTTTGTCTTCTGATTTTCTGTCATGCGTTTCCAAACCCAGCATGAAACTCCCTCGTCCCAGCTGGGCTTCTGACTGCTCTAACTTTTCAGACAAATCAAAGACCTGACCAGTGGTATAGTCTGCATTCTGTGGGGAAAATGGTATTGTGTCACTATAAAACACAAGTCTACCATTTAAAAAATCTATTTTAATGTAAACTAATTTCCTACAAAGAATATTTCATTTGCAAAGAATTCCACTATAAAATCTGAGTGAATAGTCAGTGAGAAGAGAAATCAAATTACATTTGCAAATCTGCTTCCAAATTCAGGTAGTTCAAGTGTAGATAGATGTTTTCCCTTTTATAATTTCAAGATTACTTGGAATTTTTCTCCTTGACTGCTTAAATCTAATATTTGTTATTATGGGAGGCTTTCAAGTATACAGACCTAAGTCCAAGTTCTGGAAGTATGGCAGATTAGCTGAAGGCCTGAGGTATGCCTCCAGGTTCTCTTCTGAAAATGGTAAGGGAGTCGATAATTCCTACTTTAGAGCTACAGTGAAAATTAAATGAAGTAATGCATATAAAGTTTTTGGCACTGTCCATGACACCTAGTAAAGGCTTAGTAATATTAGCTAATTTTGCTATTATTTTTGTTGAACTTTTAGAATTAGTACTTATGACAATATTGATAAAAATAACATTTTAAAAGCTCTTCTGGGTCGGGTGCGGTGGCTCATGCCTATAATCCGCATTTTGAGAGGCTGAGGCAGGTGGATCACCTGAGGTCAGGAGTTTGAGACCAGCCTGGCCAACAAGATGAAACCCCATCTCTACTAAAAATACAAAAAAAAAATAGCTGGGCGTGGTGGCAGGAGCCTGTAATCCCAGCTACTTGGGAGGCTGAGGCAGGAGAATCACTTGAACCCAGGAGGCGGAGGTTGCAGTGAGCCGAAATTGCGCCATTGTACTCTAGCCTGGGCAACAAGAGCAAAACTCTGTCTTTAAACAAACAAACAAACAAACAAAAAATCTTTTCTGGTTACAAAATTAATAATTATACAAAAAAATTTGGAAAATGTAGAGCAATATAAAGAAGAAAACACACACATTTATAATCTCTTCATTTAGCTTTAACCACAATTACAGAGCATTGCTATATGCTTACATGTATACCTACATTTGAAAAACTGTAATATTACATATTTTACCAATATTTTTATGGGGTATACTTTTTTAATTGTAGTCTAAAACACACAAAAAAATTTCACAAAGTTATTAAGTATACATTATATTTCTTTCCTAGATCTTCAATAGAAGAGTGTGAAGAGGAAATAAACTAGTTGGCAAAAAGTAGCATGTCATTCTATTTCCTCAGTTTGCAAGGAAAGATAGTCAGTCACCAAATAAGAAAAGTTATTTGCTGCCATACCAGTTCTTCCAGTGATTTTTACAAACTTAGTATTTTTAAAAGACGCAAGTATATTCATTTTGTCTGGATCTAAATGGTTTAGGAAACCAGTATGTTTTTCCTCCTACAGACTTGGAAAAAACCCTAAAGTTTATAGAGCTATTTAAGCCATAAAAATATAGGCTACCAGAAATAGTTATACTATTAAAATGACAATAAAAGATATCCAATTACATTTCAAATGTACAGAAAATGAATATAGTAAACTAATTTCTTAAATTAGAAAATAACTTAGGTTACATGCCATAATTAACTTCCTTAGCTGGGGGAAGAGATAAGTTGAACATATGTCTACATATTTGTTCTTAAAATGCTGCAATGTACTATACATAAAACAACAAAAAGGCAGAAATGTAATTTAACCTTTTCTTGATTATTAATGTCCTCATCTATGCAGTGCTGGAATACAGGGACAGACATTGGGCTGAGTAGGTAGATCTGCTTGCCTTATACAAAGGTTCAGACTGCTCTGGTCTTACAGTGTTTTCTCCCCTTGCCATCAGGTGTCACTTCTGGCTGCTATTAGTATACTTGCCTCTAAGGAAACAACACATATAAAGCACTTAGCAGTGTCTGGCACATAGGAAGCATGTAACACATATTTGCTATTATGATCATTCTCCATCCTAATTTGCTACTTCTGACTACTAAAGATAAGAAATAAGAACAAATGCTGGTCGCCATGGCTCATGCCTGTAATCCCAGCACTTTGTGAGGCCGAGGTGGGCAGAAGACTTGTGCCCAGGAGCTCCAGACCACCCTGGACAACATGGTGAAACCCTGTCTCTATGAAAAAATACAGAAAATTAGTCAGGCATGGTGGTGTACATCCCTGTAGTCCCGGCTACTCAGGAGGCTGAGGTGGGAAAATCACCTAAGTCCAGGAGGTCCAGGCTATAGTGAGATGTGATTGTACCACTGTACTTCAGCCTGGGCAACAGAGTGAGATCCTGTCTCAAAATAAAATAAAATTAAGAAAAAAAAGGAAAAAAGAAAAAAAAGAACAGAAAGCTTGTCAGAGTTGTATTTAAAATAACAGTAAATACACTGCTTCACTTGACTAGCCTAAAAAAAATTCCAGTACATAACAGGCTTAAGTGAAGTCTTTTCCCATGAATATAATGCACCAAATTAAAAAAAAATCATTTACTGAGGCTTTATTATATGCCAGACACTTTACTAATTGCTTTATATAAAGTAGCCCATTTAATTCTCTCAGGGTACTTAATGATGTATGTAGTATATCACCATTTCACAACAAAGAAATGCTTAGTCACATTAAATAACTTTCTGAAAGTTACTCAGAACTAGTAAAGTGACAGAGTTGTTTTCAAAGTCAATTTTATTTTTTAGTATAGATATCATTTATTATAGAAGAGACATGGAAATTTACATAATTAAATATTTCGGAACTTAAGTGCAATGAGCAGCTTCATGTTGATGGCATTTCAATAGTGATTTACTTCAGTCTACATACTTTCTAAGAATGTCAGCATCTCTAAATAAGAAATAATCTGGCTGGGCATGGTGGCTCACAGCCTGTAATGCTAGCACTTTGGGAGGCCAAGGCGGGCAGATTGCTCAAACCTAGGAGTTCATGAAGCCAGCTTGGGCAACATGGCAAAACCCTGTCTCCACAAAAAGATACAAAAATTAGCCAGGTGTGGTGGCTCACCCTTGTAATACCAGCTACTTGGGAGGCTGAGGCGGGAGGATCGCTCAAGCCTGGGAGGTTGAGGCTGCAGTGAGCTGAGATCGTGCCACCACATTAGCCTAGACAACAGACAGAGACCCTGTCTCAAAAAAAAAAAAAAAAAATCAAATCCTTGGCCTTCCAGGTCAACTGAATAAACCTGAAGAGTGGCAAAGTAGTTCTCTACTTTGGTGCCTCCATATTCTGGGAGAATATGGGAGAATTTATCTCTAACTTTCACATTAACTGGCTGAATCCACCTTTTCCTTGAAAGCTCAATCCAACAGCTACTACCGTTGCTAGCAATGCTTTACCTTAAGATTTTTCTGGAAGTGTAATGCCTCCTTTGGTTACAGTTTCAGCTGTACTCCTTTCAACCAATACTCGATCAAAGAGCGTAAGAAACTTCTAAGTGCTGGTCCTGCTATGACTCCTGTTGCTGTGGCTCATATTCTCCAAACCCAGTTTATTTAATTCTAAATCCTGTGGTTCTGACCACTATATAGATATATACTGCGATGTGTCTCCCAGTATCTACTGCTTTAAAGTAATGCTATTCTGATTCCCTGTGGGAACCTCTCCTCACCCATTTTTAGTCCTTGAGCTCCTGAAGGAGTTTTCTATGATGTGGCCCAGCAGTAAAGCACTTGCTGTGGCCCTAGCCACTCATCAAGCTTATTCAGTTGGCCCACACCAGGCCTAAAGATAGGCATGTGATTAAGTAAAGCCAGTCAGACACAATGAAGTTTTGCCTGGGAATATGTGAGTGTGTGTTTGAGTATGTGTGTGTGTGTGTGTGTATCTTGATCTTCTCTTTGAACATGAAACTGAGAGGCTTGGAGGTCTAAAGCTAAAGCTGCTGTCTTGCTTTCACATGAAGCCTAAAAGTAGCAATAACTAAGATGAAATCAATGCTAAGAGAGAAAAAAAAAACCCAAGACCTCATAATATTGTTTGAATGAAAACTTAGCTGTGCCTGAGTTAAGGCATGAAATGAAAACTTAGCTGTGCCTTATTCCTCAACTTTGCAACTTAGACAATTCCCTTTCTTGTTTAAGCTAGTTTCATTAGGTATCCTGTTACTTGTAATCAAGAGTCCAAGCTGAGACACTTGACACACAAAAATCAGTATGTGTACTTTTTTTTAATCCATAAATCTCTTTATGGCAGGGGCAGATCTCACCCTGATCTGGACACTCTATTTGCTACTTAGACTTGGTCTCTGTGGGTCATGACACAGATCCTGAATTGGCCTAGCATCCTAATCCAGCTCTGGTGGTGCAGAATCCCACCCTAGCCCTGGTGTCTTGGCCAAGTCAGGTACAGCCTTTCTGTGAAACAGTGTTTGAGATATTAAAGGTCTATGGAGCTTAGATAAAATTCAAATGCATTCCTTACAAGTATAGTACTTACAGTAAGCAAGCTAGAGGAACTCAACGTATTCACCCAGTATTTATTCCACAACAGCTCGAGCAATTTGCGATCCAAAGAGGATTTAAAATATGAGACTTCTAAGGCATAATATCTATGAAATAAAAGCACAAAATTTAGTAAGTAAAAAAAAATATTCAACTACATTACATAAAAGTTATGGCTAGTTTTAAGTGAATTACACTTTATTCTCAAATATTCATGTTTTAGTTTTTATTCCAATAAGGCAAGAGCTAACCATGGTTTCCTCACACTTCAAGGGTTGTGGATCCAAATCTCCTACTAAACTTCTTGTTTTATTCCTTTTTTTCTGTAGAGTCCAGAAATTCCCAAAATGTTATTAACAACCAGTCAAAACTTCTGAATGACAAGTTTATTCCTGTTACTGAGTTGATAAATTAAGCCAACAGCACATAAACTTAATGAGCTGCCTCTCTAGAGTCAACTATAATTTTTGTTAGTCTCTTTAAAATAATAAAAATGACATGTGGATTCCATTATTCCCTTCCTAATTCCCCAGTTAGGACCTACTGCTTTTTGAAAAGCAAATTTTAAGGTAGGTCCTTAAGGCATCCAAAATAATTGCTCCCACTTTCAAAGGTGCCTAATTTATCATCAGGGCATAGTAAGGAAAAATCTAGTTAAATGTCTGAAAAATATATGTATTTTTAAGATGTAAACTTACATCTTAAACTTACACATGCTTCTGGTATCAATGGCTATAAAAAAGGGTAAGAGACATCTTAACCTTAAGGAACTCAACATTTATATGGGGGATGTGGTCTAAACCCACAAAAAAATTAAATATGAAGATATACATTGAATAACAATAAGTGATGCTACAGTGCTATATAAAATGAATCACCTACCAACTAAAGGTTAGAGATTAATAAGTATTCTTTATATAGAGGAGCTCAAGTGATCACTTGGAGCTAGAACTGCCTGAGAAGCCTCAGGGAAAAGGCAAGGTGTAGGGTAACCATTTTTGAGTCTATGGTACAGATATGTGGAGAGCAAGGAGGGCATTAGGCAGAGAGCATCAACACACAAAAAGGAAAGACATGTAAGGGATAATAAGGCAATGGGTTTAGCTGGAAACTTTAGCAAGAGAAGAATTATGTGAGGGGAAGCTAGAAAGCTATGCTGGGGTCTAGGTGGTGAAGGATGTTACATAAAAGGTTAAGAACTTTTTTTTTTTTTTTTTTTTTTTTGAGATGGAGTCTTGCTCGGTTGCCCAGGCTGGAGTGCAATGGCGCAATCTCGGCTCACCATAACCTCTGCTTCCCGAGTTCAAGCGATTCTCCTGCCTCAGCCTCCCAAGTAGCTGGGACTACAGGCACCCTCCACCATGCCCAGCTGATTTTTGTATTTTTAGTAGAGATGGGGTTTCACGATGTTGGTCAGGCTGGTCTTGAACTCCCAACCTCAGGTGATCTGCCTGCCTTGGCCTCCCAAAGTGCTGGGAGCCACAGTACCCGGCCAAACTTTGGGAGGCAGAGGCAGAGGAATCACTTGAACCCGGGAGGTGGAGGTTGCAGTGAGCCAAGATCGCGCCATTGCACTACAGCCTGCACAAGAGCGAGACTCTTGTCTTAAAAAAAAAAAAAAAAGAAATTTAAACTTTATCCTGTAGATACCTGGGACTCTTGGAAGGTGCTTGAGTAGAATGGAAGGTACTTGAGTACAGTAATAATACAGTCAAACGGGTGTTTTATAGAAGCCTGGCTGTGGCAGTACCATTGGGAGATGTTACAGGAGAGAAACTAGAGGCAGGGATTCCACAAAGGAAGCCACTGCAGAAGGGCAGACGAGAAGAGAGAGAGGTTCAGACTCAGAGGTTAGTGGTGCAAAAGATAAAGACACATGGGCACCCTTTTAAAAACAGACTGCTTTTTCTGAGCCGCATCTCGCTCTGTCACTTAGGCTGGTATGCAGTGGCACAATCTGGGCTCACTGCAATGTTTGCCTCCCAGGTTTAAGTGATCATCCTGCTGTAGCCTCCCGAGTAGCTGGGATTATAGGTGTCCACCACCATGCCCAGCTAATTTTTTGTATTTTTAGCAGGGATGGGGTTTCACCATGTTGTCCAGGCTGGTCTCGAACTCCTGACCTCAAGTGATCCACCCACCTCAGACTCCCAAAGTGCAAAAATGTTTACTGATTAAAGTTCAGCAGTGAAGAAATAAAACATAATAAATTAAAGACATCATGCTGGGCGCAGTGGCTCATGCCTGTAATCCCAGCACTTTGGGAGGCTGAGGCAGGTAGATCACCTGAGGTCAGGAGTTCGAGACCAGCCTGGCCAACATGGTGAAACCCTGTCTCTACTAAAAATATAAAAATTAGCTGGGTGTGGTGGTGCGTGCTTGTAATCCCAGCTACTTGGGAGGCTGAGGCAGGAGAATCACTTGAACCTGGGAGGCAGAGGTTGCAGTGAGCCGTGACAGCGCAACTGTACTCCAGCCTGGGCAACAGAGTGCGACTCCATCACACACACAAAAAAGAACATTTTTGGGCTGGGCATGGTGGCTCATGCCTGTAATCCCAGCACTTTGGGAGGCTGAGGTGGGCAGATCACGAAGTCAGGAGATCCACACCATCCTGGCTAACACGGTGAAACCCATCTCTACTAAAAATACAAAAAATTAGCCGGGCGTGGTGGCGGGCGCCTGTAGTTCCAGCTACTCGGGAGACTGAGGCAGGAGAATGGCGTGAACCTGGGAGGCGGAGCTTGCAGTGAGCCGAGATCGCACCACTGCACTCCAGCCTGGGCGACAGAGCGAGACTCTGTCTCAAAAAAAAAAGATCATTTTTGAATATTCTAGCAATTCTAGGTTCAAAATTCTAGTCTTTAGCAATGTAGGCTGCCAGCAAAGTAGCTATCCCTCTTTGGTAGGCTCATATTTCAGAGTGGCAAGGTAAGGTATTAGACAAAAGAAAGTTATTTAAGGCTTCGTATGCAACAAGATCTTTTAAAAAAAAGTTATTTAAAGAAGACAGAAGGATAAACTAATGAAATAGACAAACAGGGAAATTAGATCTGTTTGAATACAGAAAACATAAAGTATCTCAATCTTTTTTGTTTCAAAGTATAAACCTTTGATACCACTGCAACTCAATATAAATAAAAAAAATTGAGAGTTCCTCTGAAGATTAAAGTATCACAGCAAAGGTGTTTCCAGGCTTAGGAGCAAGTCTCTCAAACAGGAATTATTTAAATTCCTTTTAATAGAGCAAATTAAATAATTAACACTAAACCTCTATCTGAATATGTATTTTTTCTATAACCGGGCACGGTGGTGTGCCTGTAGTCCCTGGGCAACCTAGTGAGACTCCATCTCAAAAAAAAAAAACAGAAACCAAAAAACAAAGGAAGAGAATTATATTTACAGAAATATGTCAGAGATTATTGAAAACCACATATATTTAACAATTCAATTTTAGAAATTCTAGAATTTTCTAAGAACCTCTAAACAGAAAAATAAGAGCAGTAGTAGCACATGGGTAGCCAAAGTATTCTTTGAAGTTGGGATAAGTGGTACAGAGAAAAGGGGGCACTAGATAATCATTTATAAGCAGTAATTTTTTTTGGTGCCCACTCTTCTATGTGGCATGCCCTGTTTCAAATCCAAGGATACAGCAGTAAATTTCTGTTCACATTCTAAAGGGGTCAGAAAAAAATATGTCAAAACATATCAGATGGTTACAAGTGCTAAGAAGAAAAAGCGGGGAAAGAGGAAACAGAAGGTGTTATTTTACATAGATAAAATAGTACATCATGATCATGCCTAATGAACTAATGAACATTTTCTATTAGGACGACCCTGTAAACAGATACTCAATGCTTAAAGTAGTTAAGTGAGCCACATGGAAATAAGAGTGTTCTAGGCAGAGGGAACAGCAAGTGCCAGTGCCCTGAGCCATAAGCCTGCTGGCACATTTGACAAACCATAAGGAAGTCAATATGGCTGGATTGCAGACCAGCAAAAGTTCAGTGATAGAGTTGTGTAGTCTGTGATAAGGACTAAGGATCTTGTTCTTGGTGAGATGGGAAGTCATTCTGAAAAGGAAGAGTATGATCTGACTTACAGATCTTAACAGAATCAGTCTGGCTGAAAACAGAGCTTTAAGAAGTGAAGGGCACAAGTAGAAAGACTCGCCAGAAAGCAAGTGCTTGATTGAGGCTCCAGATGGCAGTGGCTTGTGTGAAATGATAGTAAGAGAGGCGGTGAGATATTTTTAGAAGGTAGATAAGACTGTCCCCATTGACTTCTTTAACATTAAAAAAATTTAAGATATAATTCATACATCATAAAATTCACCATTAAAAAAAGTATGTAGGCTGGGCATGATGGCTCACACCTGTAATCCCAGCACTTTGGGAGGCCAAGGCAGGTGGATCACGAGGTAAGGAGTTTGAGACCAGCCTGGCCGACATGGTGAAACCCTGTTTCTACTAAAAATACAAAAATTAGCTGGGTGTGGTGGCATGCGCCTGTAATCCCAGCTACTTGGGATGTTGAGGCAAGAGAATTGCTTGGACCCAGGTGGTGGAGGTTGCAGTGAGCCAAGATCATGCTACTGCACTCCAGCCTGGGCAACAGAGCAAGACTATGTCTTGTGGGTCGTGGGGGAAGGTATGTAATACAGTGGTTTTTAGTAAGAATTCTTATACTTTATAACTTTAACTTTTTAATATGGCTTCTTTAATCTTTCAAATCTTTCAAAGATTAGAAAGAATCTTTGTTCAGTAGAAATTATATATTTTGAGGGCTGCAGACATGCTAGTGTCAGCTGGCCCTGAACCCATCTTTATCTTGTCATAATTTTATATAGGCCAAGTATCTTGTACATTGAAAAAATGTTTAGGTTGTCTAAAAGGCAAATGACATGCTAGTTTGAAACATTAATAAAAAATGCAAAAGAAAAAAATTAAAAAATGCAAACATTCACCTAAATTCATATACTATTATTGTAAAAGCTATCATGAAATGTATTTTGTGCCTTTTTTCTCATCTGTAAAATAAGGGCCTTGGACTGGTTGATATCTATGGTTTCTTTCAGCCTCCTGAGTGCTGGGACTATAGGACTGTGCCACCTCATCTGGCTAACTTTTATAACATATTTTGTAGAGATGGGGTCTCACTATGTTGCCCAGGCTAGTGTTGAATTCCTGTCCTCAAGCAATTCTCTCACTTTGGCTTCCCAAAGTGCTGGGATTATAGGTGTGAGTCACCGTGCCTGGCCCAGATATCTTTTTAAATTACTTACTGTTTGCAGTGTACACCAAAATCTTCTATTTTATTAAGTGGGATAGTCTGGTACTCAGAAGGTCCTTCATCAGGAGGTTTGTAGCCCTAAACAAAAATGAGGCAAACAGAAGATTAAAAAAACATATATATAAACGAGAAAAACATCATGTTTTCTATGCAGCTTTCTAATTATAGGATTATTAATTTTGGGAGGCAAATACTTAACATGAGCATTCTAATAAAAAAAAAAAAATACTGTTTCTACTTTCCCCCTACCCTGTTTGGTGGCTGTAGGCTGGATTTTGCTTACAGATTTATTTTTCTTCTCCTTAGGTGATGTACTTTTGTTCTAATTAACTATTTTAGATTGCAGGCTCCTGCCAGGGAAGGAAACAGACCTATAGATTTAGCTCGTTTTTTCTCTAGTACCTGTCAGAATGCCACAGGCACACAGATAGTTATTAAAGACTGCTTTCCCAGTAAAATTAACAATATATAACATAAATGTATTACCCTTTGCTAGGGACAGCTTGTGGTAGTTTACTATTTTGTAAATATTATTAAATTGTTTTAACAAAAAGAGATATTGCTAATGTCTTTAATAATAAGTCAAATATTTGGAATTTAAAACATGTAAGGACTTATAATTTTAAAAATTACTAAGCATTCCTACAGTCCCAGCTACTTGGGAGGCTGAGTTGGCTTGAGCCTAGGAGATGAAGGCTGTAGTACACTATGATCATGCCTGTGAACAGCCACTGTACTCCAGCCTAGGTAACACAGTGAGACTCTATCTATCTCTTAAAAAAAAAAAAAAAGTTACCTTTGGGTATGTCCTAAAGGCGCCAAGATTCACTTTCCCCGCAGATATTGTTCTTGTTGGATCAATCTATAAGAAAGATATATTTAATATTTGCTGATATAAAACTGTATGCCTTTTATTGAAACATTATAAACCTAGAAATGTATACATACATATAACACTATATACATACACAATAACCAAATAAGAATAAACAAACCAAAAAACCATAAAAGTTCAGTAAGAGGGTAATATAAGTGTCTCACAACTAACTTAGAGATTAGAATTATTATAATATTTAAGAATATTATTTGAAGGTTTGCTCATCTCTTTTTAAAGTTTTCTTTTTTCCTTTTAAGACATGAATAATTCCTACCTTCCTCATAAAACTGGATTGCACTTAAAACACCCTGAACATAATAAGAGCTGCTCTAGCAATTCCTGCTTATCTCAGATCAGTCAACACTGATTGAATGCCTATGATGAACTGGCACTGAGACATAGATGCTATGACTATCCACATTTTATAGGGGGGGAAGTGAGATACACAGTGGTTAAAAACACTTGCTCAAAGTCCCAGCTTCTAGGAGATGGAATTCACATTGAAACCTAGGCAGACTGACACCAGAGCAATTTCTCTTTACTACACTGTTATTATTTCTCAGTATACTTGCTTCAGCAAATCTTCATAAAGAACTTAATTAAACTAGTTTTAAAATTCTTACCACCACTGCTACAAATGGTTCCTGGAACTGCTGATTGAGCATCTGAGTACTAACATCAATCCCAGAAAGCCAGCAGCCATAGCCAGGGTGGCTATGATACCACCCGATTGCATTTTCAAGGCGGCCAACCTAACAAATGAAGGGGCAAAAAAGTTTAAGATTACTCTTTAATTAATTTACAAGGTACCAGTACAATAAAGGTAACCAGTCTCCTTCCCATCTCTTTCTCCTCAATCACCCAGTTTTATCAGCCCAGATGTGAAATCTATAGGCAATTGCTTACCCTTAGAGATATTCTTTGTATACAGAATACATATTCTTTGCATATATATAGATTGATAAAAACACACACAGTAGCATACCACGTAACAATAATAATGTTTTACACTTTGCTTTTTCACTCAATAAACTGCTTTGGAGTTTGCTTCATATAAGTCATCAATATACGTGACGGTTACCTTTTCTTCTTTCTTTCTTTTAAAGGCTGCCTGGCAGTCCACTGATGGGATATACCATAATTTATTTAGCCAGTTTTATACTCAGGAACTGAGTTAGATTGTTTCCAAATTTTTAATTTTAAACTCATATCTGGTAATAAGTGTGAGAGTTTATTTTAAAAAAAATAAAATCCATGCCATAGACCGGGTACAGTGGCTCATGCCTGTAATCCCAGCACTTTGGGAGGCTGAGGTGGGTGGATCACTTGAGGACAGGAGTGTCCTGGCCAACACAGAGAAAACCCGTCTCTACTAAAAATACAAAAATTATGGAAGGGCATGGTGGCTCATGTCTGTAATCCCAGCACTTTGGTAGGCCAAGGTGGGCAGATCACTTGAGGTCAGGAGTTTGAGACCAGTCAGGCCAACACGGCAAAACCCATCTCTACTAAAAATACAAAAATTATCCAGGCCTACTGGTGCACGCCTGTAGTCCCAGCTACTCAGGAGGCTGAGGAGGGAGAATTGCTTGAGCCCAGGAGGTGGAGGTTGCAGTGAGCCAAGATCATGCCACTGCACTCTAGCCTGGGCAACAGAGTGAGTCCCTGTCTTGAAAAAAAAAAACAAAAAACAAAAACAAAAACAAAAAACCATGCTATAAATCTTATCAGGCTTTTAATCTCGTACATTTTACATATAAAGCATTAAAATTTAAATACAACATTTCCTATAAAGGGGATAATTTTAAGTCTAGAAACTCAAAAGTCACCTTGAGACTCTAACTTGCACTTATTACACTATAAGAAACAACATTTTTACCTGCTTGGCATTTTCTATGTATGCAGCCATGTATTCATATGCAGCAGCCTGAGCATTTACTCGGGTTTCAGTGCCCTCCACAGGCAAAGCAAAGCTGTCCATAATGATCATGGTTTCACCATCCACCTTTCCTAGCATCAGACCCATCACTTCCAAGTTGCCTCCTGATCTGGCATGCATCACCATCTTCAGTAGAGCCAATGCTGAGATTTTGCAGTACTTAAAGTAATGGTGACTGCAAAACAAAATCACAATGTAATTAAATTTCTTATATAAAGTAAAATTTCAGAAAAGTTTTTATGAAGATAAAGAGTAAGTATTGAAGGAATTTACAGCGATGGAAGGGGAGTGTAGACTATGGGGAGAAAAAGTAGAAAAGGACAGTTTTTGCAGGCTGGAAACAATAAGTATGTTATAGTCCTGCAATGTATCCCCCTTGGGGGAGGGGAAAAGTCTGAAATAGTTTTTTAATATGCTATTCAAATAAGGGAGTAACATGACCAGTTCAATAGACTTTTTCTCCATTAATCTGGAATCACCCAATCTTGGATTCTGACTGCTTGGATGGTTGTGCCTAACTGTTCTGAGGCCTAACCTCTGGCCTAATGGTTAAGAATGTGGGTTCTGACATTCATCTGCTAAGGTTTGAATCTTGACATTGCCATTCCCTAGCTGTGGTATTGGGACAACCATGTAATGTCTGTGCCTAGGTTTCCTTTTCTGTAAATAGGGATAGTCATAATTGTTATTAGGATAAAGTAAATGAAATAATGTATATAAAGTGCTTAGCTTAGCACCTTACACATACTAGAACCCTAATAAGTGCTAGCTGTTATCAGCATTATTAACCTGTCTCTTAACCCTACTCTCAAAGAACAGAGTGTTGAAGGGTGGGCTTCCCTGTTATATCAGCCTCAAATTAAAAAGTAGCCATAATATCCTAGTCTTCTATGATCATTATTTCAGAGTTGGTCATCAGTGAAGTAAACTCTTGAATAAAATTACATTTTGGTCTCATTAGTGCAGCCCAAGACAGCTAGGATGAATATAATTAGAGCCACAATTAGACAGTGAAGCAGGCCGACAGTTTCCAAATATTTAAGAGTACACAAACCTAAAATGCACAACCTGCTACAGAAACAAGCAGACAACCAAGCAACTTAAGCAGCCTTACAGAGCAGTCAGTCAATGTCTCTACAAAGCCTTTTTAGATGTCTGCCCAGAGAAAGAATCCAAATTTAACTCCTAAGCTTTGCCAGATTTCAACCAAAAGCTGAAAAATGTGTAGACCTCATGTTGGAAGTCAAGACATGAATCGAAATCTTGGCTTCTCCCTTTACTGGAGAAAAGAAGAAAGACAAGTTACTGTGCTCCTATTACATATATTCTAGACGACTCTTTTTATACATTATCTCACCTAATCTCTATGACAATACCAATAGGTAGGTCTTATTTCCATACTATGACAAATGAAGATGGATAAGTAAATTTCCTAAGGTCAGTCAACTAGTGACAGCTGTGAAGTTTGATCTTAGGTCTGACTATTGCTCAGCTAAGAGTTCACTTATCTCAGTGTGATCATAAATTACATAACGTATTTGCTTGTTTTTTAATTTGTAAAAAAAGGATGGATATACTGTACTGGGTTGTCATAAAGATTAAATGACGTGGAAATCTCTAGCTAGATGCTTCCGCAATTCACCATTGTGGAATCTGAATACTGAGAGACAAGGCTAGCTTTGTAAAAAAAACTGTGAGGCAGTAGAAGTATGTCCTCTTGTTGACCACAGCTCTCATTTCTATCTAACCATTAGCTTTTGTGCTCCTTTTACTCTCTCTCAAACATAGCCCGTAATAATTATCTTTTCCTGAGAGCAGGAAATCTCTCAGGAGATGCTCTCAGGAAAACATAAATATTATGGGTAAAGATCCCTCGACTTGTCACCACTCCCAGGGAAAAATGGGTATTGTTGAAGGGCAAAAAGTCTTAAGCTCTATTTTTAAAATTTCTGGCTTATGGGAACTGATGGAGTAACATTGTAGAGACCAGGTAGAGCCTCCGTGTGCCTCCGAAATAATTATCAGCAATCAAAAAACTATTATAGACCCAGGCCTCACGCCTGTAATTCCAGCATTTTGGAAGGCCAAGGTGGGAGGATCGCTTGAAGGCAGGAGCTCGAGATCAGCCTGAGCGACACAGCGAGGACCCACCTCTATTTAAAAAAGAAAATAAAAGAAAATAGCTCATAGCTATTTTTGAGACCTTGAGCTGCTGACTCGATTTCTGAAAACAGCTGCGGTCCACAGTAAGGGAATAGCTGAAGACTCAAACAAGGTGCATGTCGACACTGGGTTCAAGGCAGGGTGTGCGGCATATATGACAATACGGATGTTCAGAAGTGACAACTTAAATCACCGCTTGTTGTTCTCCCCTTACATCATCCGGGGGTAAATGGATTAAAGTGACAGAAAGGGGAGTCAAAGCCCCAGCGGAGGGCTTAGGCTCTACTTGCAGATCCAAGGCGCATATTCTGTCTCCCTCCCCGTCGGTGAAAGCTCTTCACCCCTTTCACCTCCCTCTCCCTCTGGGTCTCTTAAACTCCCGCCAACCCTTCCCTCCCCTGCGTCTCGCCAGGGACCTCCTCACTCCTTAGTCCAGGGCTTCGCCGCCAGGATTTCTTGCTGCTGTTTCTTGTCGTATTTGTAGATTTCATCGATACTCTGAGCTTCCTGCATATTGTTGGCCAATTCCCAGGTTTTCTGAGCCATACCGCTCCCGGACGCCGCCATTGCAGAGAAAGCGGAGAAGTTGTCGTCTCTACAACCAAGACGCAACTTTACCTCGCTAGGTCTCCGGGTGTGGGCCTTGACCCTCTGCACCACGGGAACAAACTCTTACCTAGACTCTCGGGGCAGCCATGACACCTAGAACCGGAGGTGAACTTGGTAGAGACCATTCAGGGAAGACAGGGACCTTTCCGGGACATGACGATATAAGCAGCAGTTACAGTAATAGGGAGAGACGAATCTTCTTGTGGCTTAAATTAGAATATCTTGTCTCGGAAAATTGTATGTGTGAAATAGAACAAACAAAATTATAGGGTATGGGAATGGTATAGTCTTCCGTACCGGAAGAAGGGCATGTAACGTTATTCCAGAAACTCTTATTTGCCTTCTCTGCTTGTACTGCGCAGGCTCGGCCTCCGCCATATTAAAGGTAGTTGGAGCCATAACGGTGGGATGTGGAGGGCAGAAAGTGTTTTTGTGTGGGTATAGGTACCTTAAATGAGATAAGTTTGTTGAAAGACTAAAAGGTAAGGCCATCTGTTGTACAACTGAGCTAAAAGTCGTTCTGGAAGCTGCTTGAGAGGAAGATAAACATGGCATTCCAGTTTACTCCAAGATGACTCACTGCACATGCGTAAAAGCTAACGGGATCGTGGTGGCTTGGCGCTTATCTTGCAGATGGGCTTTTTCTATCGATGCGAGGAGGCAGTGGGTACTCCTTGATTGCTACTGTCATGCCTTTTTGGGTGTCGGTAAAAGTTAACATCTACATATGCATAATGTGCAATTACTGGTCTGAAAATGTCCAGTACTCCGTTCTTATAATAGGTTACAGTTAAATCTTTGGCACTGCTGTGAATTATGTGCCATTACTGTTCTGAAAATGTCCAGTACTCAGTTCTTATAATAGGTTACAGTTAAATCTTTGTTACTCCTGTGAACCGCATTTGTTCCCAAAGCGTAATTAATTTCGGCAACTGGTTTGTTTTCTTCCTACAGTTAATACAATGTTTAATTATTTTTAAAATTAGTTTACGTGTTTTAGGTTTTCTTTTTTCTCCATCTCATTCCTCCATCCATGCAAGATTTTAAGTTTCAAGACACAGGGAGCAGGTCTGCGTTCCTTGTTTCATCTCCTAGCACCTAGCATAGGTGTTCAAGATTTTTTTTTTTTTTTTTTTTTTTCCTTTCCTGAAAAGATAGCATCACAGGCCACGCGCGGTTGCTCACGCCTGTAATCCCAGCACTTTGGGCAGCCGAGGCGGGCGGATCACTTGAGATCGAGAGTTCGAGACCAGCCTGGCCAACATGGTGAAATCCCGTCTCTACTAAAAAAATACAAAAAAATTAGCCAGTCGTGATGGTGTGCGCCTGTAGACCCAGCTACTCAGGAGGCTGAGGCAGGAGAATCGTTTGAACCCAGGAGGCGGAAGTTGCAGTGATCCGAGATCGCGCCACTCCAGCCTGTGAGACAGAGCCAGTCTCAAAAAAAAAAAAAAAAAAAAAAAAAGAAAAAGAAAAAAGAAAAGATAGCACCACAGCTGTTAACAACCTGGCCCCTACGCACCTCTTCCAGCTTCATCTCTCTTTAGTCCCCCCTGAAACTTTTCGTTCTAGCAATGCAAATATATTTCCTTTGGCTTTGCATATGTGGTCAGCATTGCTTGAAATGCTCTTTCCTACATTTTCTGCCTGGGAACTCATATTAATCTTTAAAAATATAGTCCAGTGAGATCGACCACGAACTCTTTCTTGACACTCCAATGACCATTCTTTCCATGATGTCTCAAGTCTCTGTAGGTGCTTCTGTAACTGTTACAATGCGTTGTAATAATCAGTTAAGACGAAAACATTGGAATTATCGAATCCACACCACAGCTTGCTGTTTTGGCACTTCCAGTTGAAGAAAATTTGCTTTAAAACTATCTTACAAAGAAATTTAGGGTAAAATAGTACATTAATACCTACCCTTAGTTCCACTCTCCTGGGAAACTAGAGGTCTCTTTTCTGGTAGTAGCATATGGCCATATGCTATTGTATTGGGGTGAACTGAATAACATGTTGAAAATGATAAGGAAAGCCCAGGACCCAACGTTGACGACACTCCTGGGCTAGGAGTAACGCTCTGAGAGGTATGCCAACATTTTTCCTCTCACTACCTCCCCATTTTTCTTTCCAGGCTCTGACACTGTTCCCAAGCTGGCTGGTGCATGGGAGGTTGGAGAGGCTGAAGTAGATTTAGCCTGAGAAGTGGCCCCCACGGTTTAATAGCCCCTGGGCACAGTGGGAGAACGGGTTGTCCAAGTCCCCTGCCAGGGTGCTGGCGAACCGAGAGCGCAGCGGGCAGCTATGCGGCCTCCGGGACAGCAGGGGGCGCTGTCTTGCCGCGCGGCCGCCTGCAGTGGGGGCGGGGCCGCACCCGGCGGTGGGCGAAGGGCGGGCGGAGGGCTGGGCCTGAGGGGCGGAGCCCAGGCCCGGAGGATTTTCACGCTGTTCCCGCGCCAGGTGGCGGCTGCTACCTCTTCGGTTCGCGACGAACCTGTAGAGCACAGTTCGTCTCCCCGTCTCAGGCACCCCGCTCCCCTGAGTAAGAGTCAGCCAGCCGCGGATGGGGAGCGTGAGCTGCGGGGTGTCGTGCGGTGTGGTGTGGGTTGAGAGTGGAGAGTCCTGGGGCTGCATTCGCGGCCCCGGAGCGGGGGTAGGGGCAGGGGCTCCCTCGGGGCGTAGGTCTCGAGGCAACTAGGCCGGCGACGTGCCGGAGTTACAGGCTTTGGAGTCTGGGGGTGGAAAAGGGGGGTGGTTTCTTGTCGGCAGGGGGCATCGTGGCGGTTGGGCGCGGTGGGGGAGGTGCCCGAGTTACGGGTGTGGAGAGTTGGGGTCTCGCGGCCGAGAGGCCGGCACCATTGACTGAGTTATGAGGGTTGGGGGCGGGAGTTCCTGTGAGCCGGGGTCTTGCGGCTGCCAGGTTCGGGGAGGTGCCCTGGTTACACGGCCCGGATTCCTGGGCCACAGTGGTCGTTGCCGCCCGCGGTGTTGTTGATAGCTGGTTGCCTGACGACGCACTGACGCTTCCTAGTCAGTCACCTCCAGGGCCTGAGGGCGAGCAGTGCCTTGGTTCCCACACGCCTCCTCTACCCAACTGCGAGGCCTCTCCTGCTGGGTCAAGCCTCCCCAGGCGCCTTTCTAGCCCCTCGGTGCTTGTTGTTGTTAACGTGGGAGCGCTTGTGTGCACTGCTTTGCTAGTAAAACTTACTTAATCTTCACTGTAGCTCGGTATTGTTGTTACCGTATTTCCTCCCGTGATTGCCCGATTGCTTGAGCTTGAACCTCTTGTTTCTAACTGCCTTGATTTTAGGAATCTTACGTGAGACTTGAATCCAGTTGTCAGTACATGTTATTAATGGAACTCATCTTTTGAGAGAGGCTAGCTCTCAAGATTGTAGGATTAAGACGCTTAGCTAGGATTTCGGGGAAGACTAAATTCTGAAGTAAACCACCACCTGGTTTCCAAACACCATGGAAAATCAGGGGCCTAAAAGCAACCAATAGGAATTTGTAAAATGCTAATTTAGGCCTTTTACAAGTTATTTAGGCTCTGTTCTGTGTGAAAGAATGACTTGTCATGTTGACAAGCTCCATGGAAGCTACTGAGGTATTTTCTCCATATCATTCTTCTCCCTAGGAGGTCGCCAGCTTTCTGGTGATTAAATATCTACTGAAATGCTCCACAAGGATCAATTTTTTGTTTGTTTGTTTTGTTTTTGGAGACAGGGTCTCGCTCTGTTGTATAGGCTGGAGTGCAGTGCACCATCTGGACTCACTGCAATCTCCCCCTTCCAGGTTCAAGCAGTTCTCCTCAGCCTCCTGAGTAGCTGGAACTACAAGTGCACGCCACCACGCCCAGCTAATTTTTGTACTTTTAGTAGAGAAGGGGTTTCACCTTGTTGGCCAGGCTGGTCTCGAACTTCTGACCTCAAGTGATCCGTTTGCCTATGCTCCCCAAAAGTGCTGGGATTACGGCCCTGAGCCACATGCCAGGCCACGTTTGGGTCTTCTGCCAGATAGCCTTCTGGGTGCGTGCGTTTAGACAGAGTAAATTGAAACAGGCCACTTTCGGTACAGTTTTTCTCAAATGAAGCTTTCAGACAAATATGATTTAACTGTTACACATTTGAGCAGATTTCAGATTATCCTTTTTTTTTTTTTTTTTTTTTTTTGAGACGGAGTCTCACTCTGTCGCCCAGGCTGGAGTGCAGTGGCCGGATCTCAGCTCACTGCAAGCTCCGCCTCCTGGGTTTACGCCATTCTCCTGCCTCAGCCTCCCGAGTAGCTGGGACTACAGGCGTCCGCCACCTCGCCCGGCTCATTTTTCGTATTTTTAGTAGAGACGAGGTTTCACCGTGTTAGCCAGGATGGTCTCGATCTCCTGACCTCGTGATCCGCTCGTCTGGGCCTCCCAAAGTGCTGGGATTACAGGCTTGAGCCACCGCGCCCAGCCCCAGATTATCCTTTTAACATCATTCTGACTTAGGTTCTGATGTACTTTTCTGAGTGGCAGGCAAGGATGTTTGAGCAAGTGTTTCAGCAATTTGGCATAACCCTAAGGCTAATTTATGTTATTGCCCTTTATCACCATTAAGGGTGTATTATTAGTAGCTGCTGAAAGACTTCAACATGGTTTTATATATTTATTCACTCTCTCTTTGTATCCTGTCTCCCAGCCTCCCTCTTTCCCCCAGCAACAGTATTTACATGTTAGCAATATTAGGGAAATTTGTCAAAATTTGGGTGTACCCATGGGAGAAAGTTGCTCATGTGGATGCCATCTGCCAGGAGAAAGATGGAGAGCCTTTCATTCGGTAGACAGATCTCTGGATGGATGAGAAGTGAGAAACATTGTCCTGGTCACTTTGTCCCTTCCTCTCTTCTAAAGCTCTTTCACTGGCCCCTCCCCCTACCCCACATGTTATCACACTTTGACACCTGTTCTAGGTCCTGTTCCCCTACTCTAGGGTCTCTTTTTCCAGACAAAACTTCTCCCACAGCCTTAATGATTATTTTATATACTGCTAGATCTTTATTTCCATCCTGGGTTCTATTCTGAGTTCTAGACATTTTTAGATTGTTTTCTTCATATCTCCAGTGCATCCATTATGGATATCTCACATTTAGCTCCTAGACCCCTGTCAGCCCCTGTGGCAGGGGGCATTATCTTGTCCAAATTTGAGGACAAGAATCATGTTTTTATATATACATATATATACATATATATACGTATACATGTATACTTAAATGTATACTTATATACACCCACATATATATACACACACATATATACATACACACATACATATATACACATTGGTTTTTTTTGTTTGTTTTTTGTTTTTTGAGACAGTCTCACTCTGTCACCCATGCTGGAGTTCAGTGATGTGATCTTGGCTCACTGCAACCTCTGCTTCCTGTTTTCAAGCAATGGTTCAGCCTCCTGCTATGCCCAGCTAATTTTTTATATTTTTAGTAAAGATGAGGTTTTGTCATGTTGGCCAGCCTGGTCTCAAACTCCTGACCTCAAGCCATCTGCTTGTCTTGACCTCCCAAAGTGCTGGGATTACAGGCATGAGCCACCATGCCCGGCCACATTCTATATTTTTGATCACGCCAGCCTCTAGCACAATGTCTTGCTTTAGGAGGGGAGTCATTTTCCGTTTCTCATGCTCCCATAGTGGGAAGGAAATTTGTACTCCAGTCCTTGAGAGGGAAAAGGATAGGAGCAACATTTTCCCATCTTTTTGTGACTGATGAATTTGGGAGAAGGAATTGGGCAAACTCAGTTCTTACTGGGTTCTGTTTATTGGATTTGACTAGACTTAGCAGAACGGGTATGCTCTGGTCTGCTTATATGTCTATGATAAGCATAAAGAGCCAAAGGTTAAGATTTAGAGATGTTGGTATAGATTATGATAACCAAGTATCAATTATTGATGATTTAAATCTCAGCATACTTTATGTTTGCAGGCTCTGTTTTTTTGTTTGTTTTGTTTTTTGAGACAGAGTCTCGCTCTGTCACCTAGGCTAGAGTGCAGTGGCATGATCTCGGCTCACTGCAAGCTCTGCCTCTCGGGTTCACTCCATTCTCCTGCCTCAGCCTCCTGAGTAGTTGGGACTACAGGTGTCTGCCACCAAGCCTGGCTAATTTTTTTGTATTTTTAGTAGAGATGGGGTTTCACCGTGTTAGCTGGGATGGTCTTGATCTCCTGACCTCGTGATCTGACAGCCTCAGCCTCCCAAAGCGCTGGGATTACAGGTGTGAGCCACTGCGCCCGGCCACAGGCTCTGTTTTTAAGAGGTAAATCTTCATATATGCAAAGACTATGAAGATACAACAATAAACAATAAAAGAATTGATCTTTTTTTTTTTTTGACACTGAGTATTGCTCTGTCATCCAGGCGGTAGTACAGTGGCGTGATCTGGGCTCATTACAACCTCTGCTTCCTGGTTTCAAACCATTCTCCTGCCTCAGCCTCCTGATTAGCTGGGACTACAGAGGTGTGCCACCATGCCTGGCTAATTTTTGTATTTTTAGTGGAGATGAGTTTTGCTGTGTTAACCAGACTGGTCTCAAACTCCTGACCTCGGGTGATCCATTCCCCTTGGCCTCCCAAAGTGCTGGGATCACAGGCATGGGCCACCACGCCTGGCCTGATCTGTTGATTTCCAAGTGTTAGGTTCTCTGTCATACTTTTTATATGCATTATTTTGCTTTTTCTTCATAATATACTAGAATAAATGATATTTCCGTTTTATAGATTAGGCATAGAGCAGTTAAGGAACATACTTGAGGTCATTCACGTTGAGATCAGTAAGTGATGGAAATATATTTCAAACCCAGTTCTTTCAATTAAACTGTTTTCCTGAGAACTGTTTATTATCTACATACTATGTACACAGCTACTGGGGAAATAATACTTGGCCATGATGTCTTGAAAAAAGTTGTGAGTGACTTTATATTGTAGAGTGTCAGAGATATAAATAATCTCGTTTAGGTTTCTTTCAGCTGATTTATTTTTGGCAACTTAATCCTTAAATTACAAACTTTCTTACTGTATATTGTACATATGCCATATTTATTAACCCTGTCTCTGTGATTCACCAAGTAATTCTTGAATAATTGTGTAGTTGAAATATGTTTTATGTAAGTTATCACATGCTTTTAGGAGTGAGAAAAAGAAAAATGGCCGTGACATCTGACATCTAGAAACTAGTATTGCTAGAAACTAGTCTGGCATTCACAGTAACTTTGTGTTTTTCTGTTGAAGATAAACTATTGTACAGAATGTCAACATCAGATAAGGCCACTCTGTGTCTATGATGGATCAAGACAAAAACATTCCATCATTGTGTCCAGACACAGACAAATGTTGTCCAAGACACAAGATACCAAACATTCGCTTTCCCAGCTGATGTGAATGTCTACTGCTTGTTTACCAGTTACAGCATTAGCCTCCTCCTATATTTTAGATTTATTGAGTGGTACTATCATAGAATTAACCCCACTTACAACAGTGTTCAATCCTGAGCAAAAC